ATTTCACCTTCCATAAAAAAGTATAGTCCCCTCTACAGTATGTTCTTTGAGTTGCACTTCTCCTGCACATTGGGTTTCACTCAGAGCAGTGATGTCAATGTCATACTGTATCTCCCTGAGTTCTTGGGCTACAGATGCATGACAGTGCTCTGTACAGTCATTGTCAGTACAGTCCATGAGGGACAGTCCATTACTTTGTTGATGTTCTAGGTCTCGCAGTTTTAATACTTTCTTTTGTGCTGTGGACCACATGAATTGTCCTTCTGGATGCAGCTATCCAATCAGTAGCGATGAGGCACGCTCTACAGTATCTGTCCGTGATTCACTTCGACAAAATTGGCGAACTGAGGAGATCCCAAAAGGCACTGCTCAGTGGCTGTTACAGCTGACAAAACTCAATTCCATACATGACTAGGAAGTTCAATACAATGTTCCTGTCACACTGTGCTGGTCAACAAAGGACTTGAAGAAGATGTTGCAGGTGGACTTAAGTCCTTCTTTACTTCACCCTGTTGATGCTTTGTCGTGGTTCCATGCTGAGGACTGGGGGGGAGACATGGGATTAATATTTAAGTAAGCTGGGGGAATGCCTGGCTCCATTTACTTGACTTAAGTTTAAACTGTACAACTTCTCCAGTCTCTGCAAAAGAAGTCAAGTGAACTATGTTTAAAGAGGATGGCATATTTTTTCATTAGATTCTGAAAAGCAATAAATCCCTACTGCATTTTTAAGTGCGCACAAGATTCAATGCTATTCACAAGCTGCATAAATGAGTTTTCCCCACTGGGAATTAAGAAGGTTTTCCTTGGAAATGTGGTAATAACAAAGTCCTGAAGAAATGTCATTAGTTTGTGGAATAAAGACTCATATGGCATACTGCCTATATTACTGCACGTTCTGAACAAGCTCATATTACATTCACGCCTGTAGTACTAATTCTCAACAGCTGGAAAACTCCTCACATTTAATCTAACACTTCAAAACCTCCAACAACACCTTAGGACATTTAAATTAAAGCTTCATAATCCTGGACTTCATATGAAAATTCCTTCCCTCCAAACTTAAATGGATCTGGCTTGTTCCCAAAACCATTATTCTGCTCCTTACTCCTTTAAACTGTTTTTTAATTATATTCTTACTATCTTACACAGTACCACTTTAGATTAGAGGCTATAAATTCTATTATATAAACTTTATAACCTATAATAGATTCAGAGCATTATAATGTTATAAATAAACTAGTTGTTTATGAGAATCAAAGTATTTTGTCACCAAGTAATGCAAGTGCAAGCAAATTGCACACTCTACAGAAACACACTGTATCTTTGCAGACTCCGATTATAAGTTTAAAAAAGTTAAGACTTAATAAGCAAATAATTTTCTCAGAACAGAAGGATAAACATAAGTTGTTTGGGCATCTTTTCCTCTAAACTCTTATTCAATGGCACATGGATCGGACTCACTATCTCTTTACTTTGTTACGATCATAAGATAAAAACAAAATTCTTCGTTGTCTCTGCTCAATGTGAGCTCACTATGCACAGTCTAAGAAAGTGTTCAGTGACACCGCAACCTCAAAAAAGCAATTATTATCAATAATCAATATCAATAATCAATCTGACTTAATAGTATGCAGCTGACTATTTTACTCATTATTTGAGTAAAATTGTGTGTGGCTCCACACAAGCCAGCACTCACTGTTCCTTCCAACAGAAGTTTACTACAGTGATCAGCCTCCAATTCCTGTATAATAGGGACACTCTTAAACAAAGTTACTGGTTAAACTTACAGAAAACCAGATGTGGGAAACTGAAAGGCTGCAGAAATTGTGTTGCTCTCTACTTGAGGAAATGAGGACCAACTGCATTTTATCTGAAGAAAGAATCAAAATATATTTTTTAATGTTCACTCAGAATCGATATTTCCCTATTCCCTCTATCAAAATAAATATATAGACAGTACAATTGAGAGTTATCAGGAAAATAATCCACTAGAGCTGTGATTCTCAAACTTTTTCGATGACAGAACCCTTTTCTGTCGAAGCTCCTGGATTCCCAGCAACCTTTTTTTTTACTTTTCAGGATTAGCTATGGCGGTGTTCTGCAAAAAGCATTCAAGGACTGCTATTCAGAGGCAATTTAGCCAATTATTAAGGAAAAAACTATCGATTGCCTTTGTTTTAATTGTAAGCCTCTCATGAACCCATTGAGTTCATTTCGGTCATGTATTAATCACATGATAACTTGTCTACGATTAGCACCCCTAGAGTTCAATAAAGCTTAATCACCGAAATACACTTTGAGAATCAACGTTCTTACTGCCGGTTCGACCAAGTTAGGGTTTTTTCCAGACGGGGTGTTATCTTAAAATGTCCTCCCCAGCTGAATAGGTTTGGGCAGGATTGCTCCTTTGTAACAAGATGGCATGTTCTCACTGCAAGCGCCGGTGTCCAGGTGGAATCTAGAAGCAGACTGTGCTTTCATTCTCATGATTACCCTTAGAGTTATGGCTAATCCCATAGAACGCCTATCCTAACAGCTCCTTTTCCCATGGAATTCTATTCCCTCACAGGGCTCTATCCTCGTTCAGCCCAGGTGTGACTAATTCTGCAGCTCTTTCCAGTCTTTCAGCGGCCATCTTGCCTCAAAGCCACACCACAAAGGTTTGAGCCAAAATGGAAGCCACTTCTCACAGCTGCAATGCCTTTGAGGATTGTGAATACTCTAATCAAGCCTCTATGAGTGGCCTGCTCTATTCAAGGTTAGAAAATAATTCGTTCCTTGAGTCTTTCAAAGTAGGACGTTGCTTCTTTAGAGAGATGTATTTTTTAATATTTTTGTAAAGTGGTGATCACTGCACCTCGTATCTTCTTGTATCACGGCTTCATAAAGAAAATGAGGAAAAATATGATGGAGAGCTTTCTGCATTTATATTAATATTAATCACGCAATATTCAAGGAATTTAGATAGGAAAATTCCAGTGGAGATCCTGATTTAATTGTTTAGCATCAGCAATAAAAGGCTACGATTTCAACATCTTAGACGCATACAAAATCCTAAACAAAACATCCAGACTATTCAACATAAAGGCATCTGTTTGAATTGATATATGACCCGTTTCACACGGAGAAAAAAAGGCAGCATTTTGCATGCTTCTCATACTGTAAACGGATTCCTCAATCAAGCTAATCCTGAGACAATGCACCGCGGTAATGCTGAAGTCTTCTTTCTGTGACAGCTTGACATGGCCAGCACTTCCCACTGTAATGGAAAAGCAGACCCGCACAACAGTTCATCAACATACAGATGTTCTTCCGTTGCGATTTGCTTCTGCAGCCAACAGCTAAATTCACAAATCAAATCTGCATGCAAAATTGCATGTAAAACAAGGACGTAAACTCCAGTACACACATGAAAGGCATAAAGAACAGCTTGTGTTACACCATCCCAGTCACAGCACTGGACTTCCTCAGAGTGTCCACACACATGAGCCCTGAGTATATCGCATATGGAACTAAGTAAATGGGTCTGGTAACTTTACTGCATTGGGTCACGCTATACTTAAAAGCTCTTTTTAATATTTTTTATTGTAACCATTTTACAGATCTCAGGGGAAAGAAAGCATCTCAAATATTTTTTATAGGTTTTCATGGTAAAGTCTATGGATTTTTCCAGAGCCATAAAGTTTTTAAAAAAATCAAAAATGCATGAACTAATGTACTTCCTCAAGTTGAAGTATTTCCTTTTCACAACACAGTAATTTATTTATGAAAACTGAACATGTCAGCCTGTGTTGATCTATGCAGTTTCTATTGATCACCTGTGTGAAAAATTACTTTTTTGGGTTTGCTAAAAACTGGACAGCTTTCATCCATCAAAAATGAGTTTGATAATCTTGTTTCACAGTCTGCCTACAGTATGTTGGTCCACATGTAAAATAGCTACTCCCTCATCATATGTGAAACAATACGCAGCTGATAACCATCCCATTATTTCATTGGTCTCTATTATTATAGGTATTTGCACTTAATACGTTATATTAAATGCAAATACCTCATTTGTTTCTACGTTTGAAATCAAGTAAATCTGTACCGATAAAAATCGACCACCTGAGTCTCTGTCAAGCACTTCATAACACTCAACTGCATAATCTGTGACAAATAATAATGAAGTTGCAGAAATTCATGGTATTCATGCATTCAAAATGTTACTAAAATGCACTCATTGCGCCATGACTGAAAACTGTCAGGTGACCTGCTGACATTATGGCCACCACTAGAGAAGTCCATTGCCCCTCCACTCCCAATTACAAACCCACAAGCAACAAAGATGAGCTATTTTTAAATATCTGTTTACCACTTCCAGAAAGAACATGCTAATTAATTGGAGTGGCTGATTTGCTTATAGATTCCAAAATGAGTTCTAATTATGTTATTATACCCACATAAATCATATCACGCATGATAAGACGTTTTAATGCTTCTGATATATTTATATTCATCTTCACACATTAATGCAATTAATGAAACAGACAGCAAAACAAAGGCAGGCTTGTTTTCAACTCAAGCAGGAAATACCAGAAGTATTTAAATCTGCACAACACTTCTCAAAGGCATCCAGTAAAAGTCACCAAGTAATCAGCAAAAAAAACAAACAATTTTCTTACCACACTGTACTGCATAACTAACTTTGGTATAAAATTATTCCCAACTGTTCTGCCTGAAATTCAAGTTCAAGTAAACATCTATCTTCAGGGGAGCTGAAAACAGAGATGAACTGACAAGCATCTCGCTCACATCTATCAAATCGGGGGCGGTGCATCCTGGCATTGCAACGGAGCTACATGTATGTGGCACCGGGGTTTTTTTCTGTCTGCTATGGTGGTATCGGACCTGAAACATTTGGCAGTGCTGACGTGAGTTTCTGCCCGCTGCCAAACCCCCAGCAGGGCAGTGCAAAAGCACAGAAGGCAGCAAGGGAGTGCGTGGAGCCTACTCACAGCAGGTTGCCCAGGGCAGCAGGTGTAGCTGCCGTGTGACTGGTAGTGGAGGCTGGCTCGAGGGAAGGGATATGTGTTCCAGGCAGCCTGACTACTGTTCCACTGTGAGGAAAAGCCAGGGCTCATGGTCACTTGCGCTTTACTGTTGTAAGCTCTCACCGCAGCGCTGGCCTATAAAAAGGAGAAACAGAAAATCAATGCATCAATACTGGATCAGGGGGGGCGACCCCTCTTCTGCCCTCAGGTGGGAACCTTGAGGTCGGGCAACAGGAAGCGACTCCTTGTGACTGCCTTCGCCTCCTCCTACGCTTTGAGCTTGAAACCTGCGCTAAAATGACATGTTCTGTTCTTTTCGGAAATGCCCTAACTCTGGATTTACAAGTTCTGACTCGCTAGAAATGCATCAACTGTCACGATACGATGCTCGTATCAAAGTCGTTGTTATGTTTCAAGTAATTCATTTCGAAATGAAGCTGAAATAACCTGAAAAAAATGTGGTGCATTTTTTTACTCGGCATTATGTTAAATTGGAAACAGGTAATATATCAGCCCTGCTGCTTGAATGGGAGTATCAAAGAGAAATGTTCATTCACTGTTAATTTTCCATTTTTATCTTTTCAAAGAAATCGATTTTTTAAATTACAAAATAATTTGAAACTATTCAAATCTGAACAGAAGGTTCACACTGAACACTATTTCTTGAGGATCAGTGCTGCTGATAAACACTGACATACTGACACACATTTCTCAATGAACTGCTTCTTAATCATTTGCAATAAAAATCATGTTACTTGGGATGAAAAGAGTGCTGTGCAACACACAGGGGAATTACAAGGTCTTTCAATCACAGTCTGAAAGCACTGTCCAGACGTAAAAGAAGCATATAGGAGCAAGTCTAGATAACAATCACTGATTGAGTGGTCTGGGACAATATCCACTGAAGATAAAGTTTGAGAAGTGTCATCCATGGTTCTATGAGAACATAAAAAATGGAAGTTATATTCAAAGCAAACTAATTTAGAAGGCGCAATGCATAAGAAAGTATTCCAAGCTGAACCTCCAGCAGAGATAAAATATCGGTTACAGTACATATGTGGCTAGTAGCTTTATGAGGGAGAAGAGATTAGGGCCAACACTGAAATAGTTGGACGCCAACCAAAAGTGTGTGTGTGTGTGGGGGGGGGGGACCTATGTATCTGCCTATGCTCACATCAGGATCGGTGAAGTGGAAGCCGAGATCCGGTGCACACTGACCCCATGTGCTTGCAACACCGGAGCAAAATGGGAGTTCGCAACCGGGGGGTTCCTGTGGTGGAAGTGAAGAAGGAAGAAGGACAGAGTGGGCAGGATTAGGGAGAGAGAGGGAAGGGGAAGGGGGACAAAAGTGCCACATTTGCTCAGAGTTTCTGGAAGGCTGGCTGACCTGAAAGCAGAATGAAAGGCTGAAGAGGCAGGAAAGCACCAGCAGTCCTGGATAAATGCAATGAAGGTAACATCCCAGCAGCAGCATATGTGAAGCTGTTTGGACTGTGGGAAAGCAAGATGCAGAGTGCTAGAAGAGAAGTGTGCAGCGGCATGTTCAGTCAGGGAACTTTTATACACAGGGAAGTAGAAGTGTTTGACCTCTACTTAAATTTCTGTACCTTAACACCATAAGGCACAGATGGGTGTGCCAGAAGAGAGTGTTCTTAGGTCTCCATTCCTGCTATATAGTATGTGAGTTGTAGAGATTGGCAATTACTCCAACTTGGGGAGGTATAGAAAATAAATTAATTGGTTATTCCAAATTGAAGAAGACAAAATTACAGTAATAAAGCTTCCATGGCCATCTCAATGCACTTAACAATGTAGCAAGCCAAAGCAAAAATATAGAGAAACAGATACACAAATTAATAAAATAGATTAAACGCAATTAAAAACTAGTGTATACAAGTAATTTTTAAGATGGGATTTGAAAGTGTTCACTGACTTGCAAGATCTAATATTAGCTGAGAGATTATTCCACATCCTTGGAGCAACAGAACAGAGTCTTGTTTTGGGCTATAAAGGAAGGATAGAATCCAAAATACATAAACAACATGTTCTGTACGTGCATAGGGAGTAAACAATTTACTCATGCAATAAGGAGCCAAGCCATTCAAGGTTTAAGCTCTTAAAGGTAAAGCTGATTTTTTTTCTTTTTTTTTTAAATCAATAGATACAGTGTAAGGAGACTAGAACAGGAGAGATAAGCTCATGCTTTCTAATATAAATTAAGACCTGGACTAAAGTAATCAAGCCAGGAAATGACAAAAGTATGCATGAGCTTCAAGAAATTTTTTGCATTAGATTTAGAGATATATGAGGCTAAAACCAATGTCGATCAAAAGACAACTTCACATCACTACTAACATGACCAAGTCCAAAGCCTGGATCAACGATTACATCACAATTCCTGACCAGAGTACCTGCAGTGGGTCCAATACTTCAATATTTTGAATAATGAACAACACTATTGTGGGCTTGATGAAGAGACACAATCGGCATAACATTATGTTTCAGAATCGAGATAAAAAAAACACGTTGCATCCATTTTTAACATTGTGTAAACAGATGTAGGAACAATGCCCAGTTTGAACAAATTGTTTTCTAGCGGTTAGATTCAAACCACAAGAAAGTAGTTCCAGTAATACCAACAACACTCTCTAATCCATTCAGCAAGATAGTACGATTAACAACATCAAAGGCAGAACTGTGGCCCAGCAAAGAAAAACAGAAAAAATGTTTCCTTTTACTTTTAATTCCACTTTAGAAATGTCACTTTTGCTTGAAGCACCAGTCCAGTATTCAGGGTGGCGAATCACATCTTCTATTCTTCACTGTTAGGAAGACCAACTCCGAGAACATGGACTACGTTTAAAGATCATTTAGATCAATTGCTGTGGCATTTCACTTAAAAGAAGATGTGCAATATGTATATAAATGATGCTAGTGTTTCGTAAAGACTTGTTCACATACAGAATTTGTCTTCAGAAAATCCAAATGTGTATTACATCCAGTATACAAATACCGACTGTATTACAAGTGACTAAAATGGCTCTGTCAAATACTGTACATCCACCCATCCATTTTCTAAATACTTCACCCAATTCAGGGTCACAGGGGAGCAACAGGCGCAAGGCAGGGTACACCCTGGACAGGGCACCAGTGTATCACAGGGCACACACCGACATAGACACATACAGGAACACCAGGGCCAGTTTTCCCAGAAGCCAGTTATCATGCCAGTATGTTTTTGGACTGTGAGAGGAAACAGGAGCGCCTGGAGAAACATCATGTGAACACAGGGAGACCATACAGACTCCCAGGAATCGAACCCAGGGCCCCAGTGCTGTGAGGCAGCAATGCTAACTACCGCACCACCTTGCACCTTCTGTCAAATCGAGTCTGCGCGGAAATTTCCATTTTAAAATTAGCATGATTCAAACACATGATTTATTTCTGACAAACAGATGTAAACAGCTCTGGCAATGAAGTGAAATTTGTTCCCGTTCATTTTAAATTAGTCAGATACCAAGCTGAAGTGGGTCAGAACAGCTGAATCATGTAACGGATTATTATTTAGATGACTTATATTCTGTTGTCAGCTGTTTTTAATTACAATCACAGGCTACAGGAAAAAAAAAGGTAAAACAGAAGTAAAAGTTTGTGCACGTATTGAAGATCACATACTGTATTATAATATAGTCTGTGACGTAGTGTTATATAGCTTTTAGCTTGTCTATAGACAAATTACTACATTTTCTAGACAAAACATAATTTAGATTTTTTTTTAAATACCTACATGTGTGTAACAGTCTTTCAGACTTAATAGGATGTGACTAAGTCAAAAAGAAAATGCTTTCTGTTGATCACAGAAACAAACAAGATCAATGACAGCACTGAAAAACACAGCTTTGAATCTATACTTTTAAATACACTGTTCTTAGATTTAAATATGTTTAACAAATAATGGCAGAATGTATAACATAATTGTGAACGTAAACGTACAGGTGCAGTACTACTGCAACATGTCGTGCAAACATCGAGAAAAGGAGAAGCTACTGTAGCCGAAACCAACCTTACTACACTGATGCTAAGATTTTTAAACGGGTGCTACAAAACATTTCAAACCAACCGCTAATTATTAATGAACATATTGTTTAAGCCAGAGTGATCTCCAGGTAAAATTGTTAGAAGCTGCTAAATAAATGCAAGATGACATTTTAAATTGTGTAGTTCTGCGTTTTTATGCATCTTTCAATGTTAACCAAAACAGCTCACCATTAAACAGTTCGTATTTTTATCCATTCTCGTTTGTGCACTTCAGTCCCGCCTTTGAAATTGTTAATCGTACTATCTCATTGAATAGATCAGAACTGGTTATTAGCAGCACTGAAGTGCTTTCTCATTGTGCAACGTTTATCTAGCTGCTAAAAATAATTTGTTCTATTTGAACATTGTTCCTCCTAACTACAAAGTTGGTTACATTGGTGTCCCTCAAGGCTTCATGCTTGGTGGTGTTTTTTTTTTTTAATTTGATATCAATTCATATGGTGTGATTGTCCAGGACACGCTGATCCTTATTTAGTTTGTGGACAATCTAGTTCAATTCTTGTTGGCACTTTTCTGGGTCTTCAGAAAGTAATCTTCTAGACCAGTGGTGTCATGTCCTTAAAAACATCCTCTTTTTTTGTTTTTACCACATTTCGTTCTTTAACAACTTTAGTCCACTACAGAACTAAGAAATAAATACTTGCTCGTGATTCATAATACAGTACAAATAGGACTGGAAAACAGTATCATCTGATTAATTACCTGTCACAAAATAGGAAAGGTCACTGTATTATTAGAAGGTCAGTTGGCAACCCAGGAATGTTTATAGGATATGAGAGTGAATAAGCTAGATTATTTCTTTTGAAATCCATTTTGATCTGAAAACCATTAAAATGGACTGTGAACACTTGCCAAGCTCTTCTTTATCCTCTAAAAACATCAAATTCAAGTACTCCATTATTTTTTGGCAGAAAAGTAAGAAAATAATGACAAATAATCAAATCAATTGATCAATCAAAATCAATAATTAATAATATGACCATTTGGAAGTTCAGTACATATTCTATAATTACTGTATATATGATTGTTTATGCATA